AGTTGGATTACAGTAATACGGTGCAGATATTCCACCATTTTATTGTTGTTGTGTTGTATTATACGAGGAAGGTTCAACTTCTGTCTGAATTTATTGAGTTTGTTGAAAACAATGGAGTGCTGAATTTTTGTAGGGCTTGTAGCAATAAGGGAGCTTTCAGACCTTTCCCTGCTATAGCATGGGAAAGGTCTGAAACACATGTGCATTATGATTATAAAATAGGAAAAATAGAGGGTGTTCCATGTGGGCTGTAACAGTGCCATGTTATAAAGCTTTTGACTAAAGAAGGGATTAAGCCTTTGGAAATTTTACGGCATTTATAAGCCCAGTTTGGTGACAACACATTTTCCAGATATTTTGAAAAATATGTGAATGGTGTTTGAAGTCAGGAATGGTTGAGAGGACATTTGCAATCTTCACTAAGCACCATGATAAGCCACTGCTCTTATACTGCACATCTGAAAAGTTGAGGAAATTATTGTGCAGAACTAATGCATCTCTGTGAGAGAATTTGTTGCAAAGATAAACATCAGTATCAACAGTATAGAAAATGTTATCCACAAACATCTTTATTTTCGGAAAGGAAGCACAAGGTGGATGCCAATGTTTCTATCGTTCAACCATAATAAGGAGGTATTATAGCAACACCATACCTGCTTTAACATTGAAGGTACTGCATTTGTGTACTGAAAGTCTAGATACCCAGCCTACTGTATGGATATGTCACTGCAATTATTACCTGTTTGACTCTTTAAGGAAGGGAGGCAGTAGGTTTATCCAGCATACTGACGTGTTGGGAGACAAGAGATTTACCCAGAATACTGAAGTCAGAGAGTGTGTCATGTCAGACATAAAATTCTCTGACATGAGCCATTTTATGTCTGCAAACTTCTATTCTGTATGCATATCATCATTGCCAAAACAATGAGTAAAGTATGGGCATGTGGACAGGAGTATCTAGAGTAAGAAAAATAATTGTGACACGTGACATATCACCATTACTGAAATTTTAGACAGAAGTTGAACTCCTCTTGAATCCATGTTGTTAGACAAATGAATGATGACAAGTTAAATGTTATTAACACAGCTAATGAATATTATTTTAACTGTGGGACAGTTTTGTAGGCAAACACTAATTGATCTGAATTCTGAGAATGAAACAATGATAATATACAGTATTATATTTTTTATCTTTAAAACTTATATCGAGCATGTGATTTTGAAATTTCAATTTGGAATTCAATTCAAAAACTTTGCTTTTGCTATTCATTTTTACTTCCGACAATACACAAGAACGATTCAAATGACCCAGATAAAATACTTTTGTTTTTAAACACCAGAGGGTGAGCATCCAGTAATAAATTTGAATACATGGCTCACAAAAATTATTGTAAAAATGCAAAGAATCCTTTGCTCATGCATATAGGACGACTTAGGATTTTGAAGCAGTGAAAAATGAATAAAAACCTCGTCTTATATGCAAAATAAATACAGTATTTTTAATTATTGAATTTTATTTTCAAAATTCATGTTTATTTGCACAAAATAAATATTGAATTAAAAAATTGATAATTATGAAACCAGTTGGATTATAAAATTGGTTTGGTTTTATTTGATTATAGCAACATGACACATGGGAAATCTGTCGAGGGGAATGCCTCCCATGAGGTCTTTTATGGGAATTGGCCCCTATTTAGGTGTTACTAACATGAAGAAAACCTGGAAAACTCCATATAGCCAGCCCGTTGTGAGGCACAAACCCACAACCAATTACCAGTGTTCAGTGGTTTTATCCACTCAGCCACAGGTCGGCACTTAGAAAATTATTTTAACTTTTATAGAACTTTCAATTATTTTTAAAAATAATTCTTACAGATGAAAACTATAAATTAGTATATGACAATTAGTAGCAAATTATTTCAATTAAGAAATTAGTTTATTTTTAAAATGCTGGCCCAAAAGACAAATTTCAAGAAAGAAAAAAATTTAAATTTAGTTTTATTACATCTAAAAGTATTCTTACAGTAACAAGATAATAATTTTTAATTTCATAACTAATATCTTCCTTCATCTGATATTTTAAAAAAGTTAAAATTACATGATAAAGATTAAGTTTATTCAGGGATGCACAACCTTTTTTGAAGAAGGGCCAAATTAGGATTAAGTTTATTGACTGGGGGCCGGACCTCCAAGTGATTAATGCGATGTCTGATGCAATTTGCGAGATTCTTTGTTGTATCGTCATGTGGTTAAGACTGATTGTTTGAAAACACTGTCTTCTCAGGACACATCTCACTTGCGATGATAAGACACTTTTTTATCATATCGCCATCTGTGAAAGGTTTCCCATTCTTGGCTATTAAAGCAGATATTTCTAGGCTGGCTTCAACAGCCGCATCCAATTCTCCAGATTGTTTCTTGAACACATTTTGTTGGCTGATTAGTGATCGTCGTAACGATTCGATTTTCCGTTTGCGTTCCGTACCTTGCAGAAGGAAATCCTTGTGTTGGCTTTCATGATGTCGCTTCAGGTTGAATTCTTTTGGCACTGCTATTGTTCCATTGCACAAAAGGCAAATAATGCTGTTGTTCTGTTGCACAAAACAGTACTTGTTAGTCCACACTTCCACTTCTTGAAACTGATGATTCTCGCGATTGACCTTGCGTTTAATGCCCGGCGCCATACTGTTCACTCTGCAAAACAATGTCTCATTGTGCCGAAAATTCTGAGGCCCGCAACAAATCATGTTTGAGATAAGGCAAGCTAGACTACCACGTGCTTTGTTCTGTATCCACTCTGACCAAAGACTAAAGAGGCGGGGACAGAAGACTATTACGCACACGTGGCCAGGCAGGTCTTAATTCGTTCGACCCCTGTCCGGGCGTCTCCACCATTTCTCAGAATTTGTGAGTCAGATCGTCAACATGCCAGGTGCAGGACACTAATCCATCATAAATGTGGTTACCATTCTTACCTAAATTATATTTATGGCCCGTCAGTTTTACCCCCGTGTTCAGAAATGAATCAAAAGTGATTAACACAGTGCAGTGGAAAATCTGAATATTTTAAATATAATTATTAAAATTGCGATATCTCGTTTCAAATTGGCGCTAGAATCAATTTTTTTTTTTTTCTGTCCTAAATATATCACAGTTTACGACTGTTAAATTTCAAATAAAATAAAAATTAAAAATAATAATTTAATTTTAAATTTACGAAAAAAAGAATGTAAAAATAAAAGTAAATAAAAAGTTCCAATTAATTTACTACTTAAATAACCTAAATATATCTGTTTTCTTTCAAACAAAAAAAACCGCAGCTTTCTAGCTACACGGAATCATTTTACAACCCTCTTTGTTGACAAGTTTATGGCTTGACGCGGTTTGTAATAATTATTAAATCCAAAATATTTTAATGCAAATGGCTTCCTTTTAGTCGTAATGACTCTATTCCAACTACAGTATTAATTTTCTTGGTCCAACTTAATAATAATAAATTTGATGTGAAAAATTTTTTTTCTATTCTTTGTCTATGGAGAGATATTGTTGTAAATTATTGGTTTTATAGCTTTTTGTACATTCCTTTTTGAACTCTGGTTAGTTTTTTTCTAGTTTGAATGACATTAGGTTGACGAATAAGCGTCTTTTCAGAAAAGATTGATTCAAATTCGACTATACCAATCAGAATCTAGAATGTAAACAAATGCTAAAAAATCGTTATTTTCATGGTTTTTCAGCGCTATTTTCACTTATTTTTGTTATTTGACGCTATTTAGACGAATAGGCAAGTTTTCCGAAGCATAAAATTGAAGATTTCCCGCCAAAATAGAAACTTCCCGATAACATCGGAAATGACGTTCTAACATCATTTTAAAATATTCGATATCTAAAGCAGAAAGTGTTAGCTAAAAATAGACTTATTTATAGAACAATCCCCCATTTCTCACCTCAGGGAAAGTCATAAAACAGTTGGGTGCTAATGACTTTGTGAAAGGGAAAAAGTTCTACACTTAGAAACTTCGAAAGAAGGGATTTGGCCTGTACCGTCCGCGGGCCGCATAAACATTGATAGGGGGCCGTATGTGGCCCGCAGGCCGCAGGTTGTGCACCCCTGGTTTATTGAAACAGATTTATTTAACTTTTCCTAAGATTTTATTATATTATATTTTTGTTTTTATGCATTTTATAATTGTGCAATTATCTGGTCAATGTTATTAAATCTAACTAAGAAATCTCAATACTTAAAAGACTAAAATTTATAAATATAGATTTTTATTTACTATTTCTTGTAAATAGAGTAGAATCTTGTTTTAACGGATTGTAGAATAACAGATTTTTTCCTATGTCCTGCCAAATCATTGTAATTTTAACTCCTTTTAGTGGATAAGTCAGCAGTCTGATACAACTGAGAGGAGCCACCTGGTAAACATTTCGATTCTAGTCCAAGTGCAATGCCGAAATTTAGTGAGGCCATCAAGTCTTTCCAAATCATGAAGACCTTCCTGATGAGTTTAAGCATAAACAAACAGGCTGTATATGACATTAGTAATATTAAACAGTTATTGTAATCAATGAGCAGAAAAGTGACATCAAAACAACCCATGATGGACAAGTTTTTTAACAAATTGTGAAGTCAAGTAAAATGCTAATGAGCATACATAATTTATTTCTTTTTGAGTTTGCAGTTTATACAGCTTCTATCAACTTTGTTCTACACATGTATGGCTTAATATATAATCTTAATATGTATAATAGATCTTGTAATATCTTTCAATAAATAAAGAATCAAGATCTTGAGAGACTGAATAATTGCAAGAACTGGTATTTCTTATATATAGGGGATTAAATGGAAATTTTTTTGAATAATGGATATTTTCCTGGATTTATGGAAAACCTATTGTTCATGATATAATGGATTTTTGGGACAACAGATGATTTTCGGTGACCAGAGTGATCCATTAAAATGAGATTCTACTGTATTATTATTTTTTCCTGCTTACCTGTCGATGAATCCGTTGTATACCAAGAAATTTATTATTTGCAGATAACAAATGTACCAATTGAAGTCAAAACATCACTGGAACAAAGTCTTTTTCTTCATCAGTTTCATTGGAGATCATTTTGACTCCTCTAAATGTAAATAGATATCTAAAAATACCTTGTAAAATTGATTATATCTAAATCTTTATATTTAATAACAATAATAATAGTAGTAATAATAATATCTCTTTTTCTTTGATAAAAAATTAAATTACTATTTTTTTTTTATTAAAATATATTTTAATAAATTATATTACATTTTCTGGTTAATTTTCTTTCATCATATTCATTTCAGATGTTCTATGAAAACTAATTATGATTATGATTACTATATGCTATGATTAAATAAATAAATGGTTTTAATAAATAATTTCATATGATTTTAATTGGAAATAAAACAGTTTCCTGTAATAATTTATTTTTGTTTATATATTGAATTGAGCAATTTTTTTCTCAAAAAGTATGTCAATGAATCCAAATGCTATCTGACTTTAAAAAAGTTCAATTTCAAAATTTTAGTGAAATTTACACATCTAAATATTTATTAAGCAGTTTTTAATGTTATATAATTCCTAACATATTAATAAACAATAACCAAATTGCTGGATTTAAACATATATCTTTTCACATCATTCATATTTATTGCAAATAAATCTTAAACTAATCTCTAATTGGTTTTAAATTTATCTTTATTCTATTTTCTCCAATAAAGTAGAATAAAAGTAAATTTGTAAACAGGTACAGTACTTTATATTAAAGTAATGATTTTTTTGGAAAAAAACAAATGGTCTTATAAGTCAAAATATTGTCATATTTGGATAATTAGAATTTATTTCAATTTAATAAAGCTGAATAATAATTAAATAATAAATAATTTATATAACATCTGAGTACAAATAATAATAATTATAACCACAGAAACTCTACATAGGCCAACCAACTAATCAGAAATTGTTTTAATGGAGGAATAGGTATTTTAGAAATCTAGGAAGCATTGTTAATCAAAGAGCCAATACAGCCCTATCTCAAGAAGCTTATGATGATAAAGTTAATATCTTTTGGAAAAAAAAAATATTTTGGGAAGTTTAATGAAAAAGGCAAACCTCAATATGACAGAAATGATATGAACATATGATAATAGCTTTGGGTGTAATGTAATCAGCATTAAGGACTTGAAACAATTTCTTTTGCATGGAAATGACTCATTCACAAACTTAAAAACTTAGTTACTTAGAATATTTCTTCTAAGAATAATTTACAATAATTTTTATGTTAATGGATATTTATCTTATTTAATATGATTGTAGTTCATTTTTTATAATAATAATAAATTATTAAATATAGTTACTATGACAACAATTGCTATTGATTTAAGGCTTGAAAGTACTGTCTTGATGATTAGTGTAGACTTGTAAGCATTTGCAAGCTTTTTAATATAATAATGGCTCCAAGCATTTCGTGATTAATTTAATAATGTTTCTACTTGTATTATGAAAAATAATACTTATTGATAATTTCAGATTATTGATGATTAAAGTATAAGTCTACCACTCTAGGGGGGCTGGGATTAAATCCAGGTATGAGCATTTCAGGAATTTTTATGGGTGTTCTGTCCTTACCTGACTGTCCCATTGTGAGTCTGGAAAAAGGACCCTTATTGTCCAAAGGGCAGGGGAAAAAAAGACAGTTGTGAATGAATTGTGCAACTTCTGGCCTGGGATTATATGTGATGGTATAGAAATTGATAATGTTGAACAAGTTGCATGTGAGATCTATCTCATGTGCAAAAGTAATTCCTTTAAGGACTGTCAGTAAGCTAGGAAAGGTACAGGTTGTGCTGCATAGCACCAAAATCATCACTTGGCGATTTTTTTATTAAATTGGCAATAAAAACCCTAGTCTGCTTATTTTGACATTCAGTGTGATATTAAATCACAAAGCACCCTTCAGGAAAAACAGCAGAATGTCAAGCTCCTGTGCAATGGGAGACACGTGTACCATATACCTAGTGATTTCAGACGTCAAGTGGCAAGGTCAGACAATTTTTGTGTAATGCCGCTCAGTGTTTCCATATTGGGAAATTTTTTTCAACTGATAGAAAATTTGGGGAATTTTTTGGGATGACTTTTGTTTCACTTTAATCTTTTTTCAGTAGACTAAAACAAAAATTTTGACACTACAGAACATTGACTGTTGAACACAAGATTGTGTTATTAATTAAACACTTGGCTTTTTTCCATCTTTATTCCATCAATTGAATAAAGATGGAAAAAAGCCAAGTGTTTGATTAATAACAGAATCTTGTGTTCAACAGTCAACAAATAGTAAAACACAGTTTCAGAAAACAAATCACTACAGAACATGTTAAATACTGTTTAAGCATTGTGATCAAATGTGTTATTTGAAATTATTTATTTAAAAATTATTCAAAAATGATTCCTATTGCTAATAAGAAGAGAGCCAGACAGTCAGGTCTTTGATTCAAATTAAACATGATGAGCATGTAGCCTTAAACACAAACAGCTCCTCTTCCAAGTAATAGGACCTACTTCCCAAATGTTTCCAAAAAATGGGCCTCTGAAAATTGAGTGTTTAGCTTAGGGAATGTGAAACTTTCCAAACACTTAAAAGTGTTTGGAAGTTTCACATTCCCTAAGCTAAATCACTCCCTGAGTGGCAATAGCGAAGTAGATAAGACGCTAGGTTTAGGTTTATTTGGTTGTGGCAATGTGACATATGGGCAATCTACCAAGGGGAATGCCTACTGGAAAGTTTTTTAAAGGAAACTGGCTCCTATTTAGGTGTTATTAATGTGAAGAAAACTCCATGTGGCCAGCCTGTTGACAAGGCACGAACCAGTGTTCAGTGATTTTATACATTTGGCACAATAAGACACTAGGTACCAGACCTTTAGAATTTAGTTTAGTTTTTGCTTTTTTTTTGTATGTAACATTATTATTTGATTATTTTACTGAATCTTTAGCACTACTACTACTACTACTACTACTACTACTACTACTACTTGTTGCATTTAAAGCTTATAAAATGATATTAAAAATTGTGACATCATTTCCTGTTTAGTGAAAAGAAATCTCTATAGTTAAATAAAACTTTTATTTTTTCATATTTATTTTCATATAGTTTACATACTATGCCCTCACAAGCAAATAAGCTTCAGATGTTACTGCACATAGACAAGTGGCATGAAAATAGGGTAGCATAGTTGCTGTGTTTTATTTTTACTTTCTTGGCTGTTATATTTAACAGAGGGAAAATATGGCAATCAGTCAAAAAATGACTCCCCCAAGATTTTTACATTTTTGGACTTAGGACACCTTGAAATGTCAAGTAATGCAAAAAAAATTCAGGAGTAATATCTCTGCATGGATAATTCTTTTTGTGTGTGGGGCATTACTTTATTCACCTTCTTTGAAGCTTAATAACTGCTTTTTGTCAAAAATCTTGGAAATTCTGCAGGGATGTTTGTGTATTAGGGGAATTAATGCTATTAAATTTTGGTGATTAAAGGTCGAGAAGGTGAGGAGATAATGGGGGTTGTGTGTATCCCCAATAGGGTTGGAGTTAATAACAATCTTGTTAGTAAGAATATTAACTTGTACTGGAACTAGTTTGCTTACTTGAACTTTGTTGGAATATTTAAAAAGGTGATAATTTTGATTAGATCTTGTTAGTATTTACAATTTCTTATAAAACCCATTTCTACCTTCAAAATTATTATTTTTTGCCATTTTATAACAGTTAAAAATATAAAAATATTTTTTAATAAAATATGATAACAGATGACACCACCAAAACTTTAAATGTTGCCGGGAAAGTTGAGCAACTTGTTGCTGGTTTTTCTCCCCTGTATAGCATCTGAATAGCAGCAAAAATAAAAGAAATAAAAGAAAATTGTAAAGTGATGATAAAATGTATTTTGTGTTGTGAAATAGCAATTAAATATTTACATTTTAAATATTGAAAAAGAATTTTGTGCCCAGTTGGCTCATACAGTAGATCCCCCTATAAAACCGTTTCCTATAGTTATGATTCCTATAAAAATTGTGGCATTATCCGTAAACAACGGTAAAAATAACTCCTATAATACGTAAAACGTCATCGGGCAGCCGAACTACTTACCCGCCGTCCGTAGCGCCACGCTACGGAGAGATTTCTATCGTCTGGACAGTATTATATAAATTATATATAAATTAGGTACTGTACATATAATTATATATTAATTATATATAAATTAGGTACTGTATATATAATTATATATTAACTTAATTTATTGTAACTTTATTATAATTAAATATATATTTTTCGCCGTCTAGCGTCACGCTACGGCGAGTTAGGCGACCTATCGTCTGTTTAGTACTGTAATTTTATACATTTCTTGTGAAAGAAACATTTCTTATTTAACGGCCATAAAAATTATTTATATTAATGATGTCTCCAAAGGTCAACGAAGTTTTCGCAGAAAAATAATATCAGAAATCGCGGCCGCAATTTGATGCGCTGTTCCGCGACGAAACCAAGCTTTAGCAACGAGCGTAGTCAAAGGGTACACACTCGGTAAGTAATCCTACAATTTTTTGTTTATAACGTAGTTTATACGGATTATTTTAAAAAAAATATACGTATTTTGGAAATGTTGAGTCGAATTAGTCTAGAATCGATTAATTTTATGAAAGAAAACCTTTCAAACAGCCGTAGTCCGTAAACTATGATTCCTACAAAATTGATTCATAAAGAACGGAACGTATCTACCGTCTTATAGGGGGATCTACTGTATTTCTTTCAGATATTCTTACATCTTTTGTTCTTGTCTTATTTTCTCTACATGTTCAGTCAGTGTATTTATGGCAGAACTCTTTTTGAATTATCTTTCTAGGATAGAACAATTTGTATATGCAGAATCTTTATAGTAGTAGTTTTTTAAATAAATAATAGAAACAATCCAAATGATGGATATGCAATTAGTTACTCTATAAGTGAACTTACAATCTTGGAGGTGGAGAATAACTCT